ATGATTGCGCCCACGATGACGCGTCATGATTAGGGAATAACGCCATAGGAAAGGCTTAGAGGTAACTCGGAACAGTGAACTAAGGGACCTCCAAAGATCTATCCGAGCTTTTGATTGGCGAAAAATGTAAGTTTATCAGCTTTTCGGGACATTTACATTCACTAAATCATAGAGTTGAATATATTGTGGACAGCAAAATCGGCCATATCGAACAAGGACAAAATCGCACATAACATTGTGTTTGCTACAACCTAAACTGCATAAATTTTCTTATAATGGTAGCTTGTTTATTACGCTAGGGAAATAGATCAGCCTAATATACTCACTTCGTCTTTTTTAACAGCATCTTCAGTCCCTCATCTGGCCTTCGCGGCATGGAAATTGTGCTCCGCATTGAGTGCAACACCTATCGCTTCTTTAGAAGAGGAATGAGGGACAGGAAATGAGTTGGTGTGAGCCGCACAAAAGTCAGACGCCACTACAGCAATATAAGCTCCTTACTCCTGGACATAGTCCGCCAGGTCTCGCCTCTTTTCACAGATTCACACTCGTGAAATATATCCTGGGGATGGGCGCTATAACCTTTAGTGTTTCTTTCTTGCAAAGGATACAGATTTCCACGACTCGACCGTGGATCGACTACCAGTGATTCTTTGTTCAAAGAATGTTAAGAAATCTGCACAGAGGAACCTTTGACTCTACATCTTAGCAAATTCATAGATTTGGGCTCATGTGCTCCTGATTGTACCATAATATAATCAGTACTATTGGTCTAAAGGTATTAGAGTTGAGTGCAGAAGATATCGCTACTTTTTTTAGTACAATCACAGATCTCGGTACACCGGTAATCTTGATGGGCGAATTGGGTACGTGCGCACCAGATTGTGCCGTAATGTAATTAGTACGATTGAACTGAATGTATGACGGCTGGGTACAGAAGAATACGGTACTTTCTTTCACACAATCAACGATACCGGTACACCGGTTGTTAAAATAAGTAGCGCTTCAAGCTTTTTAATACTAAGGGCACACCAAGCCAAACTTCGTGTCATCAGAACGGCGATGATATGATACTTGCCTAACGGCACGCCAGCAAGCACTTGAGAAGATAAGAGTTTTAGCAAAGTCTTTGGTCTTCATGAGTGATGGTCGTCCAAGAATTTTTATGCTTCAGGCCAATCCATTGATAACTTAGTTCAAAGAAAGCTTTCCAATCATTCGACTATCTCTTGTTATCATGTTTTGAAAAGCAGCAGTGCACTGTACATGGTCTAATATTGTGGATGGCATTTCATTGCACAGTTTCATGTCTATTACTGTTCGATAAAATATCATCAGCAATCACTGCCATATGGTGACGACGATGTGACGATGGAGCGTTCTTTACTTGCTCGCAGCTTTTTTAAGAGCCTATGCATGGAGTAAATATGACGTAAATTTTTCATCGTTATTTATCGAAAGAACTTAAGCGTGGATTTTTTGACCAGGTATATTTGAAAAGTGAGATTAAGGCACCGGTGAGAAAATATCAGTCAGACCGCGACACAAATCGCCTTTGATCCATGTCATTGCCTGCCGCCTTAAGACTGAAGGCCGACCAGTTTTAATCTTCGAAAACCTGATAGTCGCGGAACCATCTGATGATAAGCGGGCCGAACTAACGCCTTGAATTAGAATAGTTTGAACGAGCCACCTAGTTATAACCTTCGCCACTGACGCCACAATCCCAGGATTTTAGCTACAATATGACCAGGATCAGTGATCTGTTTGCCCCTAAAACATCGCTGATTCGAAGCTTTGTATGGATTTTCTGACTATCTGTGTCAGATATGAATGATACTATCTTATTGAATTTTCGACGAATTTGGCAATGTATCCCATACCCGCCATTGGACCATCTGAGCTTGAATTTAGGTGAATGGAATATGGGCATACTCTCACGTTGCAGGCAGAGAATAGAAGAAGGGCGAGACGTTCGCTTATTTTGCATGTCTCGTCGCTTTTGAATTGATTGACTAATCGACATCGTCACGAGTTACTAGGCTGCTCTGCATCAGCATGCTTGCTAATACAAATAATGTAGACGATTCGGATAGACTTGTTTTCAAGAAAGCAAATCCTTTTTGATGATAAAACAGAAAGTATCGCAAGGCTACTGTGTAAAAAAGCGCTTATCTAATTTTTTTACTAGATTTCGTCGTCCATTCGATTGTTTTGAGGGACTGCATTTTTTGGTGTTATGTTTGTCTTACTTGATGCTGACACTGACCGATGAGGTGATGAAATCTTGACAATGAGCGTGAGTGAGGTCAAAGAACAATTTTGGACAAAAATTGTTGAAACAAAGTCAAGATCAAGCTCGAGCTAGTATATTCTTGCCCGTACGAGACTCGATACTTGAAAGGCTGTTCTTGGACGTAGTTCTAGAATAAATCAGCGCACTGATTCCTTTGACGGATCGAAAAATTCGGTAACTCAAATTACGCTCAGGACCACATTCCTGAGACTGAGCAAGTCCAGTCTACAACTCCAAGTACATCATATAAGCCTGTCCAACTTGAATAGAACATTTCAATTGTTCTAACCAAACCTATTGCACAGTCTCTGGTACAAATGCTAGATATTTGATCTGCGATGCAGCGTAAAAGTCAGCATCACAGATATTGCCAACTAACAAGAACAAGATCACATTAAGATCCTTCGTTCATCTAGATATATTACACTCGATTAACGCAGCAAGCGACCAGGTTGCAGTTGTAGAATGGAAAAGCGCGACAAGCTCGCCACGCAACTTTTCCGAATAATAGTGTTTCCCGATTACTACAGATTTACTTGAAAACAGCCCGTCTTTGTGTTCAAGTAACGTTGCAAAGAAGTTCAGCTTATCTGGGAAATGCGTCATTGAAATTATGGAAACACTGGATAAGACCACCCTGAATCTCTTCATGCTGTGTAAGGGTAGGTATCATCTTTGAGGCTATAGGCTTCGAGCAATAGCAACATGAATATTCGTACATTATTCAAGAGATGAAAAAAAGCTTTTCATGTCGTGCGTGCCTCGAACGCGAGGTTGTAAGAAGCAGCATATCGTTTTCTAGTCGCGAAAATTGTTTGTCTTAACTTTGTAAGACAAGTGATCATCAGATGGGATCATAGAAATGAGGACCAATGTCAAGCACAAAATATCCATTGAAGCAATAGATAGAAAGTTAGTTCTTTGAAGAGAAGAGTCATCCAGGCCACTTTATCAGCACACAACATGGACGACCTTGGTAACTTGTTTGCGCCAGGTCGTCCAGCTGAATCGCACGTATACCCCTGATTAGAACAAATAAGGTATGTAGCCACGTGTTTGTTTGTCGACATATGTCGAGCTAGATACTTCAAACGAGACGGGCATTTTGGTCTGACTTCTTCAACACTAGATTACATAGATAAAAATTCGACTCACGCTTAAATTTAGATCTTCCAAATTGCCAGAAGTTTTCGAAACTCGGTGGCGCCCCAGGACACCATTACCTTTGTAAAACAGAAGGGCTTGTAGGGTTGTATAAGAAGCTGCAAGAAATACGTTCTATTTACCTGTTGAAATCATTTACAGTAAATTGGGTAGCAATACAATCGCATGGACGACCATGTGTACACGTGGTGGTCTCTTGCGCGCAAAGACGAGCGTCCTTTACCGAGCGTCCGTTCGAAAATCAAATCCAAGAGCATTACGGTCGATTCTTTTCTCTCTCATCTCTTCAGCACAGCAAAAGAAGAGCAAACCAATCATTATTCATTTTTCCTCGCACAGCGCAAGGAACTACCTGCCTCAAACCCTCGCGACATCTTCATCCTTTGCTTCTTCATTCCAAAATGGTGTATGCTGGTTACAAATCGATGTTTGCGATGATGGCCGCGATGGCCATCAACTCGGCTGACTCTGTTGGAGTCTGCTACGCTCCATGGCGTTTAACCACCGTGACCGAGGAGACTATTAAGGCCGACATTCAAATTATCGGCCAGTATTTCACAAGTTTCCGAACTTTTGAGGTTCGCATGGGCAATTACAACATCATTGACATAGCTGCTTCTGTTGGGGTTACCGTCTCTGTCGGTGTGCAAATGAATGATCTGACGAAAGTGGATGCCGAAATCCAGGCCGTGTGCGATGGCTATGGCAGAAATCCTAGCGCTGTTGACGCTATCTGGGTTGGTAATGAGAATCTTCAAAACGGAGGATTCGGTACGGCCAGTGGCGACCTTCTTGTGAGTTACATTAAACAGATAAGGGAGTGTACTGGTGGCCGTGTAGACATTGGATCGGTACAGCGTATTGGGGAGTGGCTTACTGCTTCAGATGCAAACAAGGTCGCACAAGAATGCGACAGACTGGGTGTGAACATCTACCCATTCTTCACCCAAGGTGAAATGACTCCCGTTCAAAAGCTCGAGGCTCAATGGCAGCAGATGTTGTCTAAGTACGACGCTGCAAAGTTACAACTTACGGAGACTGGATGGCCAACAGAGGGTGAGGTATCGTACGGCAACTCTCCGTCGCTCGAAATCATGCAGCAATATCTGCAGGACTTTACTACATGGGTCGTCGGTAAGAAAGAAGCCTACTGGTTCATGATGTTTGACACGAGTGTCAGTTATTCTGGCCAGGAGTTTGAAAAGCACTTTGGTGTGTGCAAAGAATCCGGCGAGCCGAAAGTGACAATTCCCGATCAGTTCAAGATCATCACGACAATCGTTGGAGGATCAATGAATACCACTGAGGGCAATATTGAACAAACAGAGGTTGATTCTCCTATGGAACATCAGGCAGAGAACACCACCACAACTCCTCCGACTGGAGGTAACGTCGATCCTCCTGCTCCGTCACCTTCTCCAACAACGCCGACCGTGATGCTTGGTGAGCCGATGATGCGTAATCCAGATGGCTCGATTGTAACTCCAACTCCGACGCCGCCGACCTTTTTGCTCGGTGATCCGGTGTATTTTAATCCAGATGGATCGGTAGCAGACCCACCGCTAACCGTGATGCTTGGTGAGCCGATGATGCGTAATGCAGATGGTTCGATCATCACTCCGACTTCGGAAGAACCGACTGTGATGCTCGGTGAGCCGATGATGCGTAATGCAGATGGTTCGA